TCACGTAGTTTTTTAACATTTTACGTAACAAACAACAATTGCCAAAAGTGTCTAACTGAATATTAGTTTACAAATACTTCCTCTAACCTAATATAAAACTGTCCAAACTATCGAAAGTCGTAATATTATTATTATACGTATAAACGTGATTTTTGTTTTGAATTGAATTATGATTTTTTTCTTCGATAAAAGATTATTATTTTATTACTAACTTTATTTATTATATTATTAGTTCTAACTTTAATTTTTGCGTACGTCGTGACGAAAGAAAAATTCTTATTTCTTATTAAATCTTTTTCGTTTTTTCTCATATATTTCTTGTTGTGACAGACGATTCAATTTCCTGTATTAACATATCTACTAGTATTTAACACAGAGTTTTTAAAATACAATTCCATATTTTAGTCTACTATTACTCTACAATGAATTTACTCGTATAGCTAAGAAGTTCATCGAAAGATAATTTAAAAAATTTATGTTTTTATTCAAACATATTGCCAGTAATAAAATCCAATAAAGCCAACATTGTCGTTAGTCAAATTGATTTTATAACAATAATTTATCTAAAATTAAAATTTAAACCGGTTCGATGGAAAATAGGGTGACTGACGGATTGCTTAAAATAAATTTTTTGGCCATATGCTAATAGAACCTCTCTCACAGTAACTCTCTTAACTGGTTATTGACCGACATAAAGAAAATGTTTACGATTCTGACGCGATTTTCATTATTCTTGTTTTATACCTATTAATAAAATAAATATAATAATAATAATAATTTAATAATTACTTTTAATATCGATTTTTCCAGTTAAAAATAATATTATAATGTTTAAGAGTATGTTTTACGACAATGAGAAAACAAAAAGAATTTTTCATGTAAAATTTGCTTTTCAGATTAAATGTGCTTTAAAGTACATATATTTACAAAATATCTCCAAGAAAATCAACTTTTCTTTCATAATGAACTCATATGTACCTTCTATAAGCCAAAGGGCATAATAAGATATGTAAGCTTATTACATGTTAGTTAATTTCTGCAACAACGTTTTATTTTGTATGAATAAAAAAAATGTTTAAAATATAAAACAAAAATAAAATCTAAAGAGGAAAAACAAAAGTTCTTAAATATTCGCGTGCATTATAATATAACTTAGAGTAAGAAAAGTTAGCTTTCTGTAAAATCACGCACACTGTAGTGGTAACTTCAATATATGTACGAATGTTTAAACTAGATGTAGTAATTAAATCGGTATATTATTTTATACATTAATATTGTCCAAAGATATACTGTGTAATAATATCTTCTCTTTGGAATCGACTACTTAATCAGGTATTTTCGAATTCGGCCAGCCGATGCAAAGCAAATCTAATATATTTCAATACGTATAAATACATCACAAACTGATGTATAATATTTTAAGTACTATATTAAATCATGTGGCATTAAATATTCTTTAATTTAGTCTTTATTTCACAAACCTAGGTCAGGTAATTTTGAACATATTGAAGATTTTCTAACAGATTCTTTTTCTTTGCGGTCCAGGGTATAATTAGAGTTCATATCTTGTCATATTTACCTATCAGATATTAATATCTTAAAGCATTGTCGGCTGGGACCGACTTTGAAAATATCTGATTAGGTATCTATATTCCATGAAAACCCATGTTCAGTTATTTTTTACTTTTTATCGCCAGGACGTCGGTTTTTTTTTAATTTTTATTTCATATAAAACTATTATTATTTTTAATTCCAGAGATTACATACGTAGCAAAAAACTACCTAATTTATAAACCTTGTATAATAAATTAATAACAACTGTCTTGTAAATTATTAACTGGAGTTTGTCCGCGGCTTCGCTCCCGCGATAATTACAGCAGAGGGCAAATGTCCATCCCCAGGATGCAATCTATGTGTTTTCGAAATTTGATCAAAATCTGTTCAACAGCTTAAGCGTGAAAAGGTAACAAATAGAATTATTCACATTCAAGACAGTGGATTTATTAAACTTGTCCTATTTATATGTCAAACTTTATTTAAATGTGACTTTTGTTGAACAAAAGTAAGACTTATTTGATGTTAGAGAATACCTAAATGACACAAAGTGACACATGCTTCATTAAACTGTGACGGATATCCCGTCTGCATATATAATATAGTACCAGAAAACGTATTTCATTGTCTTCAGAAACGTATTCTAAATCTTCTCTCTTTATAATATAATGGGTACATTTTTTTCTCAAGACAATAAAATTATAATGTACTGACATCTCCAATTTAAGTTATACTAATTCATCGATTTAGTATTTTTAATGGCCTAATGCTGGAAGACCTTTTTTCAATGTGAGGAAAATAGACTTAAGGATTAAAACACAAAATATGTGGGTAGGTGATAGAAGTTTATATGAAAATTTCCTTGGCATTTGAGGCAAGGATATGTAAATAAATATCTAATTATCCCTCTCTCACTAAAACTATTGTTTAGGCAAACAATAAGCATTATTTAATATTTAAAAATTATATATTTAAGAAAAATGTCTATAATTTTTTAACTACACGTCAGTCAGCCATTACTTTTGTTGATTATATATCTTTTTTCAAACTAAGGAAAAGCTATTATTATAAGTTTTGAAGCCACATGTAGTTTCCTTTAGAAGTACTCATTCTTAACAACTACCGACAATAATCATATTTTTTTCTATGATAAAAAAATCCTATATATGACAATGTATTTTCTAATCTAATTTTAGTTTGTGAAGCTTTCATATATGAAAATGGATGTGAAACACTAATAGATATTACATTACTTCATTAAATTATCTGGAGAATATTTCCAATAGGAGTTCTACGAATAAACCAATAAATATATTAATGTTATTTATTTTTAGCATTGACTATAATTAGTGCTTTGACATGATTCTAGGTTTTTAAGAACAAAATAGTATAAAACGGTGAAAGGACATGTATGATAGCCTTAATTATAATCGATGCCTATAAATAACTAAGCGTTTTAGTAAGAACATCAGGACGTGATAGACATGACGACATGTATGGTTCAGTTTGTAGTGACTCTACTTGCTGTGCCCGCGGTCGCGGGTTCGAGTCTCTCTGGCACTCATTTGTGTGATGAGCACGAATGTTTGTACTCCAGTCATGAGTGTTTATATTTATAATATGTATGTATTTAGTGTATCAACTATCTGATATCCATAACACAACCCTCGTTAGAGTTGTAGATAGTTGATGATATTGAATAGTCTATATAATTTAATAATTAGTCATTTATAATAAAAAATACCTGATTTCATTGCGAAAATATTATGAAATTAAGCAAGTTTTTGTAGCTTACCATGGAACTAGATAGCGCTGTGTGTTAATGTACCAACAATTTTATTTATATTTATTTATCATTCTGATCATACTAAAATTATTAAAAAGCTTTAATAAACTTGTTTTTGACTTAAACCTTTTAATTGATAATCCCAACACATACTCTTTTATGGTAATTGAATATATATTTTTAAGTTATATGTTTTGCTTATTTCGAAGAGTTCTGATTGAGCAATCATAAGCTACGAAAACTCATACGGCAAAAATAACACACTAATAAATGCTTCTGGAGTGTTAAGTATAAAATTTAAATACGCTTAGTAGTTTAACATTATACTGTGCATTTTACAAAGAGCTGTAAAGACTATTTATTAAAAAAATATCCAATTGAATCATTTTGTATATAAAATAAATTTCATAGACAAGTAAAATAATAATAAACAAATTTATAGGAGCGAAATAAATGTGCTTTTGTGTTCCTGTTGCATCAAAGAGTTTATTTTATTCATTTAGGTATGAGTGAATTTCATCACCATAAGACGAATAAAGACCTCATATAGTATATTTTTATGATGGAATTTTATCCGCGCCATTTGTAATCCAAATAACCTCATAACTTATGTCGTTTAGATTCTTTTTTTTATGTACAAAATTATTAAATTAATTATGCAATATATATGTAGATTAAAAAGGTAAAAGTAATTAAAAATATAACATAAAGTATCTAAACAGTAGTTTAAAAAGAAATCAAGAAAAGTATCACAAAAAATATTTAATTTCATTGTTTATCATTATACCAATTTTCAACGGACTCCAAAAAACTTTTTAACAAAAAAATAAAAACCGACTTCGAAGTCGGTGTGCTTTGCTTTGTATGGGCTGGCACCGATTTCGAAAATATTTGATTAGGTATGTATAGTAAATGAAAACTACCAATCAGTTATTGTTTGAAGACGTTATTTTTCCCTTTATAGTGTAGACAGTAGTAGCAAAGTAAGAATTCTAAAGTGTTAGGCTTGTCAAACCAAACAAAATCAAAGTATCTACTATTAGTCGTTGAAGAGTTCCACCTATCCACCTTCTGGCCTTACCATCAGATCAGGTCAATAATACCGAACCACTGTCAACGGAAATAGAAACACTTGCAAAGTTTCAAGTTAATATGACAATTAGAAGTAGGTTAAATTCATTATTAGCTATTTTTAAAAAATACAGTCGAATTGAGAACCTACTCCTTTTTGAAGTCGGTTGAAAAGGAAGTTCTTAATTCGGCTAAATAATTTAATACAAAATCCTATATTGAGCTTATTAACATTTTATTTTTCAATGTAATATATATTATGTTACACTAGCGACTCACCCTCGCTTCGCTGGGGTTCGTCCCTAGGTTTTTTCCCTAAAAAAATTCATCCCCATTATTACCCCCTTAAGAGATGATTTTCGAGATAGAGAGTATTCTATGTCCTTCCCAATGTATCAAACTATCTTCTTACCAAATTTCACTTAAATCGGCTTAGTAGATCCAAAGATTACCCCCTACAACGTCGCAAACTCACAAACTTTACCTCCTTATAATATTAGTATAGGCTAGTATAGATTGAATAGTATTAACCAATCTCCTATTAGTATTTAATTATTTTGGTAAACAAAATAGTTTAATCTAGGCTCACCTGTGGTACACTCGACAAGGCACACCACTACCATCAGTAACAGCACACCTCTGATCGTCGCGCTGGGAGTAGACATGCTCGTTTTGTTTTGCATTCTGCTATGTGTCTAGAATGAATAAAAAAATTGTTAAAATTAATGATTTGTACTTTTTCCATACATATAACAAAATTGTAACTGAATCTGTATATTAAATATTATTTTTTTGGAAAATCTTATTGAAATAGTCATTATTATCGATACACAGGCTGAAACTATAGTTTTTAGAATTATCTGTCTATCTGTCTGGGAATGTATCACGAGAAACCCACTGAACAGATTTTGATGAAATTTTGTAATATGATAGCTGGTTATCCGGGTCAGAAAATATCTCATCTCTGAGAAATCTATACTAAACGCGTGATTGCGTAAGTAGCTATATACCTTATTCCCTTTAGAGCAGATCAAGTGAGGGTACCTGCGAAAACATCTCCGATCGTAGCAGGGGTTGCCGTACATCGTCACTCAGCCCGTAACCACAGCTGGTGCAGTCCAGTCGAAACGTCGAGAATAAAGCATATAGCCAGTTACGACTTCACGCATTTAAGTCCCGCAGTGTAATTATTATCGTGAAGATCATCATGTTGTTACATAAATTTGCAAGTCATCAACATAAAGGTGAAAAGGTAATGAGAGAAGCTAAGTCTGTATGTCATTTGATGTCAAATTTACATTTACATTTAAAATCATTATAGTTTTAAAAAGCTAAAAACACGTTTTTGACGAATCAAAATGTGTGTGAATATATATGAGTCAGTACATGAACGTCAGTATGTAAAAGTCAGGCATTCTCGCCTCCGCTTACATGTCTGATGCACTATAATATCTTGGCTTTTTTATTAGAATCTGATAGGCATCATTGTATAGGATCTAAAGTTGACAAGCGCAGAAACATTGGCAATATGCCCTAAAAATATTTTAATATGCTTTCGTATATCTATCTATATAAATAAAAATGAATCACCAAAATGTATGTACGCGGATAACTTCCGATCAACTGCACCAAATTGGATATTTTTTTTTTCTTTTGTCATTGCCAGGAAAAGTTTTGTATAGAAGAAAATTAAAAGAATTTTTTTTTACTAAAAATAAGTTTTTTTTAAATATCACCATATGAAAAGTGGGTGAGTGAAATAGTTTTTATCCCGGAAATCATCCCTTAAGGGGGTGAGAATGGGAATGAAAGTTTGTATGGGAAAGCGTGCTAGGGACGAACCCGAGCGAAGCGTTGGTGAGTCGCTAGTTAATTATTATTATTGAACTTGTGCAACGTTATCGTTATAATATGAAGTACATAGATATATATTTTATTGTATTTTAACAAGCAAAACAGAATTAAACAGTATTTATTATATTAGGCTTTGGAAATTTTAACAATAAAAGTCAATTATAATACCACGGGTTATTGAGACGTAGGTTTGTTATTTCGATGTTATTGTATAAACAGCTCTTTGAACAACTTAACCTCGACCATTTGGATTTCTAACCGAATTTGTATTAAAACAATAAATAAACGAGCTAACTTGATTGTTTTTCAAAAGATTTACAATTATCTTCTAATAATAGACTCAAATTTTAAATCGCCTAGTTTACTTAAGTCTAAAGTTTCATAAAGGATAGATTTGTAGGCCAATATTTACATTAGCTAGAAATCATAGGATTTCTTAGGTTTTATTACTAAAATCTATAATATTTTATAAATAGATCTGAAAAGCTTGTTTTTTGTTTGTTTATTTGAAAACTCTGATCTCGGAACTATAATACCTGTCCTACTATACAAAAGTATTTTTGTATTTTAAATCATATGACAAAATGGCTACAAAAACAATATTATTATTTATATTCGGAGTATCGATTAAAATCGATAGTCCGAATATTTTAACAACAAATATTTCATGATAAATTAATGTTAGCTGGATTTCATTAATAAGAAGTTAAAATGTAAAACTTTTTTTTTTATTACTTTGCTTTAAGTATTTTAATCCTACATATTTTTAATCAATTGAATAAATATTGAATCCTAAAATTAAAAGTTAACTAATGTTATTTTGGCACGTGTTATTATACTTTCTTACTTAATCTTAAGAGTACCTAGGCTACCGAGCTTCGCTCGGAGTTTTTGGCCTACAGTACCATTTTCTTTTTTTTTAAACCAAAAAATTGAATAAATATTAAAAAAAACAAAAGTAAAAACTTTGTATGCGACCGAGATTTGAACCTGGACACCTGTGATTGTGGATCTTGTATCTTGGCTGCTTTACCGCAATGCTTATACCCGAGTATGCTTACCGACCATATTTTGCGTGGAATAATGCAAAAAAAACTGCATGAAAACTCGAGAACACGCGTTTTCTCAGACATAAGACTAACCTACATAGATCGATTTATCGCCCCTGAAACCCCCTGTATACCAAATTTCATAAAAATCGTTGCAGCCGCTTCCGAGATTCAGATTATATATACAAGAATTGTTCGTTTAAATATAAGATATATCGTAAGATAATGTCAAGTTACTACAAACCTGTATACCATAAAGTAATAATGCGTACTACATATACATATGTACGGTTTTGTAATTTAAAGTTTTTATAATATGAAGTCAAGAAAAACTTCTTGCTGTGCAAATCAGATTACAGCTGTATAAATCTGAGGTTTTATCTTTGAATGTTTGAAGTTACTGCACTAAATACTAACGACTGAAGTATAAAATTAAGTACATCTCTATTATTGTCTAGGACTTGGATAAGCCCACACAAACAAGTTCCATTTTATCAATTAAAATACTTTGTTCTGAGTTTTAAAACTTTTATTTTTATTGTACAAGTAAAATGTACTTTCTAAATGTTTAACCATTTTCATGCACGTGAATCTAGTGTTATTTATTTTTCCTCATAGTCACTGAAATGAATATTATGAGTAACTTCAGTTTATGTGTCAATTTGTTTCACTGTTTATGTAGCAAGTACATATATACATAATAGTATGTGTCTACGTAGGTACTCTTATACTTTAAAACTGGATACAAAATAAATGTATAGAAATTTCACTTTTAGTTCATTCATTTGAATTTAGTTACACGCTCAAACTAAAGGATTATATACGGAGTCCGCCAAAATGAATGTCGAAGTCAAAAATAGTAGCGTGATTTGCTGTTTATGCTACTATTCTCTATTGTTCCATACATATCGTTTACCTACGTAAAATAGCGATATGTATGAATATATTATCGATACTTGTGTATTTTGGAATTTAGTTTATTTCCAAAAATATTATTTATAGAAGAATATTGTTATATTTTATTTTCAGTCTTTTATTGATAAAGTATTGAAAAATATAGAAATAGAAACTCAATAACATTATATCGTTTCTATTAAATGAATCGTCTAATCAAGCATCAGATATTGATCACCTGTTGAATGTTGGACGTGGTACAGACTAGCTGCGGAAGAAAGTAAATAAACTTAAAAAATATGTATGTATAGAAACAGCCAAAAATTTCAACAAATACGTAACAGTCATTGTTTTGAAATATTTCAAGTATAGATTTCCCTTTGTTACTATTTTATATGTATAGATAAAATACACTGAATACGTAAAATTATTAGTTGAATTTCTATCATATTTTAATCAATTAAAACATTTTGCATACAGTTTTGCCACTAATTTTCTTCAATTTTTCAACCGACTTCAAAAAGGAGGAGGTTCTCAATTCGACTGTATTTTTTTTTCTTTTTTTTTATGTTTGTTACCTCAGAACTCCGTCATTTATTAACAGATTTGGACAATTTTTGTGTTGTTTGAAAGTGTATACTTCCAGATTGGTCCCATTTAAATTTCAAACAAAAATACCACCCCTAAGGGTGGAAAAATAGCTAATGATGAATTTAACCAACTTCTAATTGTCATATTGACTTGAAACTGTGTAAGTGTTTCTATTTTCGTTGATAGTACAGTGGTTCGGTATTGTTGACCTGATCTGATGGTAAGGCCAGAAGGTGGATAGGTGGAACTCTTCAACGGCTAATAGTACATACTTTGAGTTTCAAAAAAAAAAAAAACATACAGTCGAATTGAGAACCTCCTCCTTTTTGAAGTCGGTTGAAAAGTAAAAAATAACTGATTGGTAGTTTTCATTTACTATACATACCTAATCAAATATTTTCGAAGTCGGTGTGCTTTGGCTAAGTAATTAAAGCCTACCTATTAAATACATACCTAATCAAATATTTTTGAAATCGGTGCCAGCCCATACAAAGCAAAGCACACCGACTTCGAAAATATTTGATTAGGTATGTATAGTAAATGAAAACTACCAATCAGTTATTTTTTACTTTTTAGTGCTTTTGTTTGAAGTCGGTTTTTATTTTTTTGTTAAAAAGTTTTTTTTACTAATATTTCTAGTGTTCTAGGTCAAGTCAGTCAGTAGGTCAGTTTGATTTAGACGTTTATATATTAGTCAATTAGGCATGTTATTTTAAATGTATAGATAATATCTATACATATATATTAAAATTCTAACTAAGTCGGATCTGTACATTAAATATTTTTTGGAAAATCTTATTGAAATAGACATTACTATCGATACAGAGGCCGAATCTAGTTTTTAGAATTTTTGTCTGTCTGAAAGAAAAACCACTGAAGGGATTTTGAGGAAATTCGGTATGATGGTAGCTGGTTATCCGGGTCAACATATAAGATACTTTTTATTGCGGGAAAATATCTCATTTCTGAGAAAAATACAAAAACTGCATTGTAAGAGTATATTAACATGTAAAACCTAAGAAATTTGGTTTTTGGTCATCTGAACGCGGGCGGATGTGCTCGAATTTCGACCGCTCGGCAAACATTAATAGTTAGTTAATATGCAAAGGTATCATTAAATCTCTAAGAAAATCAAGTCACCTAATTATATTTGTAGGCGTCTAATTTATTGAAGGAAAAATAGCTTGAATTTTGTATTATAATGAGTGATAAATGCAGAGCTTTTTTTCTAACTTAGCTAGAGTTAAATAACACCTACGTAAGTTTCAATAAAAAAATTTCTTGCTGCATTTGCAAATAGGGATAAA